CTACACAACTATGTTGTCAGGGTATTATAGCTTTGTGCAGCCCCAAAAGTTTGTAACGCCGCGAAATATTGGTCCTAGACCCACCTTTAAGTATACCGATCGTCATATCTCGACTAGCTGAGTTGATCTAGACATGTGTGTCCGTCCGTCCGTCTGTCCATTATAATTTGTAAACACGCTACAGGCCACAGTTATGGTCCAATCTTCACGAAATTTTGCATGTAGGATGGGTTCTGGCCAATGAAGACCCCTATTGTTTTTGGGAAAGATCGTTTAATATTTAAGGGATGAAATGGACCAAATACTTAATTTTTGTCGGTTTTTCTGGTCGCTCCAGAGGCCGCAATAATGGCCCGAACATCGTGAAACTTTGCATTGAGAAGGGGATCGGGTCAAAGAATAAGCATGTCTGTTTTGATACAGATCGGTCAATATTTAGCGGGTCAAATGGACCTTGACTTTTGTGTGAAAAATTACAAAATTTGTATTCTATGGTGTATATATTTACTCCTGAAGGATATAGACCCAAGAAGTTGACAACGTATCCAAGAAGAGTGGTTTACCTTTAAATTAATACCAATTATATCGTCGTATGTGCTCGGATGTGGAAGTTACACCTAAATATTTACCGGTGTCTCCATATTCGTATATTATTTAGTAACCCATTATCACTCTAGAGAGCGGAACTATAGCGCTGATCACTTTGAAATGTTCCATGAGGTTCCAGTTATGGTAAAGGACAACGCCTATAATTTTCGGTGATGATCAGATAATAATTTTGGAATAAAGTGGATCGAATACTTATTTTCGATTCGATCTATAGACCACAAATGAAAGCGAACATCACAACACAACCCACCGTGAAACGAATCTGGACAATAGCTGTACTGAATACTCAGTGTAAAGAAGTGATTCTGTTTACCTCTAATCGGGCAAGAGGACAACGCCTATAATTTTCGGTGATGATCAGATAATAATTTTGGAATGAAGTGGATCGAATACTTATTTTCGATTCGATCTATAGACCACAAATGAAAGCGAACATCACAACACAACCCACGGTGAAGCGAATCTGGACAATAGCTGTACTGAATACTCAGTGTAAAGAAGTGATTCTGTTTACCTCTAATCGGGCAAGAGGACAACGCCTATAATTTTCGGCGTTGTCCTCTTGAAGCGAATCTGGACAATAGCTGTACTGAATACTCAGTGTAAAGAAGTGATTCTGTTTACCTCTAATCGGGCAAGAGGACAACGCCTATAATTTTCGGTGATGATCAGATAATAATTTTGGAATGAAGTGGATCGAATACTTATTTTCGATTCGATCTATAGACCACAAATGAAAGCGAACATCACAACACAACCCACGGTGAAGCGAATCTGGACAATAGCTGTACTGAATACTTAGTGTAAAGAAGTGATTCTGTTTACCTCTAATCGGGCAAGAGGATGCAAATATCGCGAAATATTGCCTAAGCTCGGAATAAACATCCGCAGAAAATTTGAGTTCCGTGGTAGTTGTGTAGGGTATCATATGGTCGGCCCCGTCCGACTATACTGCTCCGCTCACTGGTTTTTTGTATTTTTGGCACGTTTTTCAAACGGTATAATGATATTAGGGATACGTACATTGATTTCCAACCAATTGAAAAGTCGATTTTTCTCTTTGTGGAAATTGCTAAGTAGACTTTCGATTTTCTTCATAAATATTTGGTTTATTATCTCAAAGCCTAAATTACCCAAAAACTTTATTCTATCTGTGGACCACAACTCATACGTCAAATTTTTAATCAAATTTTATTTAGTCGAAATAGAAAATAGATTTTTAACAGGTTTGACAAAACCTAAAATATAAATCAATATTTTAGGTTCCCCTTTCGATATTTTGGGTGCGTTCTTAGAGAGTGATATAGGTCCATGTTTTTACATAGTGCCCATTTGATAGCGCATACGAAGTCATTATAATTTATCATTTGCAAAAAAAAAAATCATTATTTGTTATAGCCCCAATATAAATGCTCGCGCAGTGATTGTAATTTGGCATTCCGGGTTGTTGGAGGGTGAAAAAAATCTTTGTAGAAAATACTCAATATTGGTCCTCATCATATAACGTAAGGACGTAAATCGTCTCTCATTTTGTCCATGCCACACAACACAGATTATTTTTTAATAAGTAATTTTTAAAAATTAAATGAATAATTTTTAAAAATACATTTTAATTTTTAAAAATACATACATACAAATGAGGGCCATATAACGTCCCTCATTTTGTCCATAGTAGTATGTTTTTATTAAGTAATTTTTAAAAATTAAGTTAATAATTTTTAAATTTTTTTTTAAATTACTCTAAAGAAGGTTAAATAGTACTCTAAAGAAGGTTAAATGTTGTTTTAGTTTCAATTTCCAATAATAGTAACAATCTAAATAGTTAAATATAGTATTGATAACCAATGTAACTAATTGATGAATTGAACAAAATAGAGTAGAATAGTTGATATCAAAATGAGATGTAAATTCTAATGATGATGTAAACATAGTTCCCGTTAAAACAAGTTCCCGTTAGCAAAGAAGACACGTGGCCGGCGCGGCAGCAGAGTTTCGACGTGAGGAATTCAACTGGAAGCATCCTGGAATTTGTGACCGAGTGTATAAAAGGGAGAGGCATGCCGGGCTCGGGATAAGTCAGTGCAGAGCGGCCAATCTATCAGGAATTTACCGAGGCTAAGTAGAGAAGCACAGAAAAAGGTAGTACATAGCTGTGTGTGTACAATTTGTAAAGAAAGTGATTTAGTAGATCCGTCGTGGGCCTTTATTTATTTACACAAAAGTGAGTTTAACCAAACCGAAGTTAAGAGCCTATTGGGAAGTTCTCGAGGCTAAGTAGAATAAGTGGAAAAGCGTTAAGTTTGACCGGGCGTTAAGTTTGAATTACAGGTACTTGAAATAAAAATATAGGGAACATACCAAAAAGTGTACCTATACCGACATTTCTACAAACCGATTATGGTTCTAAATATTGGTCCTAGACCCCATATTTCTTTGGACCAAATTTGTTTCAAAAATTTTGATTTCATCCCATCTTATTATTTCTTCCAAAATTAGTTCAAGTTCGAACATGGGGAATACTGAAAATTAGGAGGTATCGTTATATAGGGGCTACCAGAAAAAGTGGACCTATATTTATAATTTTTTTGGAGACATTTGATACCCAAGAAGAACCCAATGTACTAAATTTCAGCGTATTCGGTTGAAAAACGAGCCCAAGAACCCCAATATACCGAAAATTGGGGGATACTGTTATATGGGAGATATGCCTAAACATGGACCTATCTTCGAACTTGACATGCCTGCAGGCAAAAGACAAGCTTTGCAAAATTTCAGTAGCCTATCTCAATTCCTTCAGAAGATAGCGTAAGTAAGTGAAGATAGCAACGTGATTTTAACCAAATCGAAATAAGGAGCCGTCATGTGGCTTTATTGAAGAAAAAGTGATGTTAACCAAACCGTACTAAAGAGCCTTCGTGGGCTGTCGGGGACCTATGTAGCAAAGTGTTTAATCGGGAAAAGCCGTCGAGGCCTATATCGAAAACCGCAGCAGGGACCGAAGCAGGATCGTCACAACGAGCAAATCCTCTAACTTGCGTCTCCAGCAATTTGTAATATTGCCAGCCATACCGGAGCAGCAGCAGAACAGAGCCGGACGTTGCGGACTTCAATCAACGTAATATAAGAATCTGACATTTGTGAATCAGTTTAGTTTGAAAACTAAAACTACATATTTTCACTCTCGGTTACTTCAGTATAAATTTTGTGTGATAAATCCTACCCCGCGAGCGAGCATATCCCAGCAACTGGTAGAAACTTGTAGTTACAATAAAGGTGCCGATCATTTTGGGTATATGAAAGATTGAAATTGAGCATTGCAGATTGTTGGTGGAGAAAAAATTGTTTACAGAAAATATGTAACATAGGGCCTAGCGTTTTCATAGCCCCAACATATGGATTTCGATCCAATTTCAATACTTTGAAGGTTTCAGCTGCATTTTCCCATCGAAGTGGCTGTAAATTGCATTCGGAGTTCTTGATGGGAGAAAATATACTTTGCAGAAAATATTCAATATATGCCCAAGCTTTGGCATAGCTCCCACATAAAGTTACTGTAGAATTCGGCTAGCTTTAACAAGTACGGAAAATAATAAAATATATTAAATATCCTCTCCGCGATACAGATTATCGAAAATGCAACTAATATTTTTATATTAAATTTTTGGAAATATTTTTTATAAGTTGTTGGTTTAAAATTATGGGTATGTTATATTTTCCCTTTGACACCAAAAATAGTACAATTTTATTACATTTGTATAAAAAAATATCTTTTATTCTACCTTTTTCCAACTTCAGTGGTACGATATTTAGTGCCAGTATTTGAGTAATTTAGAAAATTCTTCTCTTATCTCAAAAAAATTGAAAGTTTTCCAAACAATTTACTAAAATGTTTCATGTACGTAATGTTCCAAAAATAATTTAATTACTTAATTGTCAAGCCAAAAGTAATAAATTGAGAGCATTTAACCACAATAACAACAACTACAACACGTGAAAGTATGAGTACAACGAACTACTTGATGAATTGGTTTCTAAACACAAATAATTGGGTTAATGACATCATTAAAATACCATGGAATGGGTATTTCATACCTTGTCTTCCAAATTGAAATTTTTATAGCGATAAGAACCACAAAGTGAATGGACAACACACGGCGACAACACACCCTTATCTTAAGAAATTATTTTGAGTAATTTTTAAGTTAAAAAAAATATCTACCACCAAAAAATTAAATAAATTGGCGTTTATTATTAAATTGTTTTCAATTTTTTTTAATAAAAATAAATCATTTTTATTATTTTTCTTATTTTTTCTCTCCTTTTCTATATATCCCCCAAAATCAACCTACCAACTCGACTTCACAACGTTCTCCGTCGTTCATCATGTCCAGCAAAAAGATGTACCCTGGCATCAGGTATGGACACATATGAAACGTTTGTCTCACGCCTCCAAAGTGAATTCGACGACAACGTTATGTGCCCAGAAAACCGATCTCACGACGACGGGCAAATCCATAATATTTCCCGATAGAACAGCCTCCCTCAAAGATTCGTTGTGTGCGCAGCAGGTGTTTTCAAGGCCAGATATGGTAGGCACAACAAACACAACTACTATTCTAATTTTCTTGTATGGTTTTTGTTCGCTTTTCATTTCATTGTTTTCTTTTGTTGGTCTTGTGGAAAATTGGATATTTTGGGTTTTTACTCTAGAATTTAAATTGAAATGGTTATTGGTTATTATCATTTGTAGTAATAGAATGCTTCTTCTTCTTTGCTTTAAATTGCCTTTCTTGATTATCGAATTGGAAATTTGTATTTGTATTTTTTTTTTTGTAGAATAGTTATGGTAATGGCTTAATTTTATTTTCTTGGGGTTTTGGTTTTTGATTTAATTTATTTTATATTTTATTCAAGGTTTTTAGAATGGTTTTCTTATTGGAATGCCCACAAATTGGTTACAGTTAAAATTTTTTTCTCAAGCACCAATAGAACTTTAATTTATGGATATTTTTTGTAAGGAAATACTTTTTCAAAGATCCTCCTTAAGGCGTGGATTTTGTTAAAAATATTCTTTAAAAAACTCTCCATAAGGTGTGGATTTTTTAAAAATAAAAAAACTTCAAAATTGCCTCTCGTTATACTAATCTATCCGACTATTACTTTTCCAGCAAACGGTAAAGTTCCCATGCTTACTGTTAAGTTCCGAACAAAAAATTATTTAATGACTCCCTTGGAACCGTTAACACAAATGTTCCATTTCCATTGTTTTTCTTTTACATTTAAAGCAAACCAACAACAACAAATTACAATGTTTGTTTTCTAAAATACAATTAAAAATGCTAGCTAAGAACTACAACAAAAAAGAGAAAACTATGGCAAAAGATTTAGCCATTGTTTGGCAGCAGTGGCAACGAAGCTTAGCTAATGTGTTAGTGTCAAGATAGCGAATTAAGCTTTAATGTAGGAAGAACAAAAACTAACAGAAAAGAAACCTAAGCGGTAATTATCAAATAGCTTAATAATAATAAAAAAAATATGTTTGTTGTATTCTAAATAAACATTAGGGTGGGGGAACAACAAATAGTTTTTTTAAGCAAGGGATCCACACGTGGATGACAGATGGGGCAGATGCTTTGGTACTAAGGATGGTAAGTACGAGGTATGGAAACATAATATTTGTCAAGTGGATCCGCACAATATGGTGGTCGCCAAAGAAGTTTCGGTAGGGTATGATGACCTATACCTCGAAGTTTACCCTTCATGTTATGGACCCAACACATCATAGACCTTCCAACACTACATTTCAAATATTCGAAAATATTGAAGCTTATAGAACACATACTCTGTATTACCCCAAAGTACACGAAAAAAATAAGGTCCACGTTATTATTTTCCCCTGGCATATATCCCACATTGTGTTGAAGTGAAAATCTATGCATTCTCGGAAAACAAACAAATCTACGGAAAATGAAGAGAAGTGAAAAAATATAAGCTAAAAGAAAAACCTACATTTATATTCAAGAGAAATAACAGCAAATGGGCAGGGGGAAACGAGTACAGAGAATAACAAAAACAAAACAAACGTATTGTTATTTAGACAAATGCGATTCTTCAACTAAGTATGAAAATAAGTGGAACAAAAAAATAAACAAAAACTAAGAAGAGACAAAAACCAAGACTTCATACGATCGTTCCGAACATTAAAACCCCTACGATAAATAAATCCCAAATTAGACACTAAAAAATAATTTTTAAAAAATGTACGTCTTTGAGAATCTTTGAAAAAATATCTCTTAAAGAACCAAGACTCTGATTGTCTCTGAAAAAAATAATTTTAAAAAAATCCAGGCCTTTGCTTGGCTACTTTTTCCCCACCTTTGACAGTCTTCAATAATTTTTTCGAAAAATATTTTTATTTAAAAATCCACGACTTTCGGTGGCTCGAAAAAATATTGTTAATAAATAATGAAAAAACAAATCACGACCAAGATAGTCCCTGAAAAAAATACTTTTTAAAAAATTCCACTCATTATTCACGCCTTTGATTGTATATAAAAAATATTTTTTTAAAAAATCCACGCCTTTGATAGTCTCCGAAAAAATAGTTTTTAAAAAAATATTTTTAAAAAATCAACGTCTTAAGGCTACTTTAAAAAATATTTTTAAAAAATCCACGTCTTATGGCTACTTTAAAAAATATTTTTTAAAAAATCCACGTCTTATGGCTACTTTAAAAAATATTTTTAAAAAATCCACGTCTTATGGCTACTTTAAAAAATATTTTTAAAAAACAGCCACGTTAAAAAATATTTTTAAAAAATCCACGCTTATGGCTACTTTAAAAAATATTTTTAAAAAATCCACGTCTTATGGCTACTTTAAAAAATATTTTTAAAAAATCCACGTCTTATGGCTACTTTAAAAAATATTTTTAAAAAATCCACGTCTTATGGCTACTTTAAAAAATCCACATCTTATTGCTACTTTGAAAAATCCACGTCTTATGGCTACTTTAAAAAATATTTTTTAAAGAACCCACGCCTCATGGCTACTTTAAAAAATATATTTCTTTTGTCTACATTAAAAATTATTTTTTAAAAAATCCACGTATTATGGCTTCTTTAAAAAATATTTTTTTTTATAAAATCCACCCCATACCGTGGCTCTTTGAAAAATATTTTAAACTGTTTCCAAGGTAAAGATGAAACAATCATACCTCGGTGTAGCCTATAAGAAACGGATCTTAGCTAGATTACCACTACAACAACAACAAAAAACCAACTATCTTTATATTCTGCAAACTATTTTATGAGCAGAATTTGTTTTCTTGCTATGTCAAGTGTTTGTTTTCAACGAGTGTGTAAGTGTGAATATTCTATTCTACTCTATTCGCGTACTACAACTTTTGTATGTTAATGTTCTCAAGAGCCTGAGTAGGTAGGCAGGTAGGTTTTTATTTGTTTGTTATTATACATTATTTGTATGGGCATGTAAAATAACCATGTTATATAAGTAATTATTAATGGGCTTTGAAATATTTAGCTTAATGAAAAAAAAACAACAATAAAAACAATAACAACAATAAAATCAGTAAATTCTTCTTAAGCTGAAAAAAACATGCGAAGAGAAAATGTAGATCAGGGTTATAGACAGACAATATTTAAGTATGTATGTGGTTTCTTTATTTTCTAGAACATTTATATCTATGTAGATAAATTTGAATAGGGTCATAAGGAGCGATATGTAGAGAGTGGTCATTTTTTGGCTATATGGAGAGCAACATTAGTAATTATTTTCTGAACTACTGTATATTGAGATTATAGTACACTAATTATATTCCCGATTTTGGGTAAAACATACAAATTTGTACTATATCCCCATTTCCGATACAATGCCTTGATGCCTTGAAATGTTGACTTTTCTCATTACAACTCCAACTAAACTTCACCCAAACAAAATTATATTAACATAAATTTTGCATATGTATGTGTGAGTTTTTTTAAACAAATTTTATCATATGTCACTTTTTTGAAAATTTGTCATTTCTTTTTTGTTGGCTGTCATTTTATCTATTGACTTGCATACTCGTGTCTCACCATAATTTTATGTTCATCACTGATGACGATGATGATGTTGTAATAATGACATATTATTGACAAATGCTAATAAACTGTCAACTATGAATGGGGTGTCTAAAATACATTTTTGATGTGATGTTTATGTGACAGCTAAAAGCTGTTTTTTTTTTGTGAATATGAATTTAAATATTTTTAAAGATCTGTCAATATTAGTTAAAATTTTATATTCATCAAAAAATTATTTAAAAATAAATTGGCAATTAAAAACAATAGAAAAATTGTTAAATGGTTGCACATGGAGAAAGATTTTGTTAAAATTAAATTTGTGAATGACGGCAGCAGAATTTTGTATTAATAAATAGAAAATAAATAGTCTATAATTGGTGGGGAAGTTGTATGATGTTAAAATTCAGAGGTCTAGAGAAAAAAACTTAGTCCCAGTACTGATTCGTATTCATGCAACCAATTTTGTCCTCATTTAGTGACATTTCATAGGAATCTTGGATTCTTTAAAATAATAAAATTATGTATATTATGTATATTTTTTAAAATATTTATTTCAAGAGGTTAAAAGGATTGGATTTCCCATTTTATTAAGAACCGATTTTTCCCAATATTTTTTTTAGATCCAAATGGCTTCTGGTGTAAAATGTTGATGTTGACTACAACGTTTTTTACAAAAGCGTGGTTTTTTTTAAAAATAAATTGTTTGAAAATTTTAAGATGTGTTTTTTAATAATTTTAAGGCGTGGTTATTTATTGAATATGTTTTACATACATTTTAAGGCGTGCATTTTTAGAGAATATTTTTTTACATTTTTAAAGAATATTTCTTCCATACATTTTAAGGCGATATTAAAAAAAATATGTTTCCTAAGACGTGTGTTTTTTTAAGAAAATATATTTCATAATTATCCAAGGCATGTTTTTAAAGAATATTTTTTTAGAATTTCTTAAGGCGATTTTTTTTATAAATAAATATTTTTAGAATGTTTAAGGTATTGTTTCAATAATAAAAAACGTTTTTTACAATTTTAAGGCGTGTTTTTTAAATAAATATTTTTAAGGAGTGTTTTAAGACCTGGTTCTGTAACAAATATTTTTCTTCTATTTATTTAAAGGCATTTTTAAACAAATATTTTTTCACAATTTTCAAAGCGTGATTTTTAAAGAACCTTTTTTTAGAATTCCGCAAGGTTTTTTAACTAATATATATATTTTTAATTTTCTAAGTCGTTGTTTTAAAGAATATTTTTTTAGAATTTTCTAAGTCGTGTTTTTTATGAATAAATATTTTTTAAAATTTTTTTTTTTTATATATTATATATATATATATATATATATATATATTTATTTCTTAAAAAAGCAAGCCTCTGATTGTCTCTGAAAAATATTTTTTAAAAAATCCAGCACTTTGATAAAAATACTTTCGAAAAAAAAATAAAAAAATCAACGCCTTTAATTATCTCTGAAAAAATACTTTCCCCAACTTTGACAGTCTTCGATAATATTTTTTAGAAAAATATTTTTTAAAAATCCACGTCTTACGGTGGC